AAAAAAAAAAAAACACTTCATTAGGCATTAGTAAATCAGTTGCAAACACATCAAAAGAAAATATTACTGAAGTTATTGCAAAAATTAAAGTAACAAATTTTCATTCAAGAACATGAAAATAAAGGCGAGAAAACATCACACGATTAACCATCAATCAAAAACAATTAACCAATCCAATAAAAAAAAAAAATTTGAAGTAAAGTCAACGAGTGAAATTGAAATATTGCAGAGTAATGTAACTAGCAGTAGCGGTAATAGCAGTACCTCAGACATGACTGGAGAGAGAGAAATTAAGAGACGTTCTTGCTTGAAGTTGGAGATTTGAGGTTACACAACAAAAGGGCAAAAGGGTTAGTGACACGAATAATTTCGGGGTAGATGACAAAGTAGGAACCTCAATGAATCTACATCTCCACGTGAATACTGAGAAAGGTACGGATATGGCGTGTGGGTATGGGTCTGCTACTCTGCTTTGGACTTTCTTATGTCAAGTATTTAGGTCAAGGTCCGAATATTCATCAGATTTAGGGTCGATCCAAGGAATTGTATTAGAATAATACTATATATCTAGCCCCAATGATGCAAGACACCAATTTATGGGTCTGAAGTTTGAAAATGAGCAATGCTAGAGGTACATCACGGTGTACATTCCCCTCACATGGATAAGAGGTCTACTTGAATATTTTATTCGAGTGGACCCCTCCATGTGAGGTGATGTACACTTTGATGTACATCTAGCATTTTTCTTTAAAAATATGATTATTCTTGTTGTACATTACGGTGTCCATAAGGGTGTCCATAATGGACACCCGGCACCCCTTATTGGATGGAGTGTCGGCCCCACTGGTACTTCATCCAATAAAGAGATGCCAGGTATCCATTATGGACACCCTTATGTACACCCTGATATACTTATAGCAAAGCCCTTAAAAATATTCAATGAGTTTACGTAGTCAAAGATGTTCAAGTTAAATACACAAGAGCTCGAATTCAAAAGAGGCTAAACTCATGACAATTTGTGGTTAAATTCACCAATTGTCACCAAACTTTATATTTGGTGTCATTATGATTAGTTGATTTGATTTTGTTTCATTATAATCATCTAATTTTATACTTCATATCACCATGGCCACCCAATTTAATTTTATTTCATCGTGGTCATCGAATTTAATGTAACATTTCACCAAGGTCACCTAATTTTATATAACATTTCACTATGATCACCCAACTTCTTTTCATCATTTTCATTAATTTTAAAAGGGGTAAAACGATAACTTTACATTATATATAAAAAATAAATTTAAAAAAATTAAAATAAAAACTTATTTTAAAAAAAAAACGTTACTTAAAGAAATAAAAACTTATTTAATTTTTTTTAAAATAAAATAAAAACTCATTTTAAAATAAATGTTTTTAAAATTTTTAAAAAAAATTTATTTTTGTTTTTTATTTATTTTTTATATATAATACAAAATTACCATTTTACCATTTTTAAAATTAGTGAAAATATTGAAAATAAATTGGGTTGTCATGGTGAAATATTATATGAAACAACCATGCTACAAGTACAATTTTTTTGACATCAAGTTTAACAATGTACCACGTGTTGGAGATTGAGTGGCCAGTTTTTAAACACCACACACTTTCCCGCCCATTCAAATTTGAATTAACATGGATTGTCAAATTCCTTGTCAACCATAGATTGTACACAAAACATTATTCTATATGAAATTAGGTGGTCATAATAAAACGTTATATGAAATTAGGTGACCATAGTGAAATAAAATCAAATTGGATGGCTATAGTAATACTAAATATAAAGTTGGATGATTATGATGAAATAAAATCTAATTGGATGGTTATGGTGATACTAAATATAAAATTGGAAGATCGGTGATGAATTTAACATGACAATATATGTTAAACATCTATAATATGTTAAATATTACATTAATTGAGAATTATTTTTTGGATGATTATAACCCTACTAAAACTCAATTATTTCAATAATATTTTACTTTTCGTTTTTTAATATGTATTTAATTTACAAATTGTAATAAATATTATAATTATTTTTCCATTAATTAACATTAACACTCATTCATTTAATTAATTAATATTAATTAGAATTTCAAATTCAAGAATTCAGTTCATTATTCACGTCCATATATGCTAATTAGCATCCGGTTTCATTTAATTGGAAATTATATTATGTTCATTTAATATAAATGATTTAACATTCATTGTTACATATATTTTTTTGGTGTTAATTCTAAATTAATTAATATTTACATTAATTCATGTATTGTATTTGTCATTCATCTTTATATATACATTTAATTATAATTCTAATATTCACGTATAAGTATACATTTTACTATAATAATTAACAAAACGAAAACTAAGAAAAATACCTAGTTTATACAATTTCAAGACCCAAATCCCGATAAACTTTGTCAATCAATCGTTCCACACAACAGGGGATGGATTTAGGTATCGCACCAGGCTAGCCCTTGCCGTCCCAAAATTGAAAAATGGAGATTTTATCAATGGGCCTAACAAAAGAAAATAGTAGACCAGCCCAAGATGAGATAGCCTAATTGATTGGGAAAATTACATAATTCCAGGCTTTTCAAGATCATGGTGCAAAAATCAGGTGGCGATGTTTTTTATTCAAAAGTCAGGTATTGATTTAACTATTAAAATATATAATCCATCTCATCCCAATCCAATTTCAAAACCCTAAAATTCAAATTCATTTGACTCCATATTCTCTCCCTACTCTCTCCACTTAACCCACACTTCCATCTCTCAATCCCCTTCCTCACACGAGTAGCTGCCGTCGCCGGAGACCACAGCGTCACAACGACGACCTCCTCTGAGCGCCACTGTGCAGATACCGCGAAGACTGCCGTGAAGTGGTGGTGGCGGCGGCGGCGATTTGGGAATTGTTTGGTAGGCTGTGATTTTTGTGTGGTTGTGTTGGTGGATATGTTGACGGTAGTCCTGGTGGATGGTGGTGGTGATTGCTGAGTGGTTGTGTTGGTGGATATGTTGACGGTAGTGTTTTATGGTTTTAGAGAGAGGCAAGTTTCTTGCGTGAGATATGGGCACAACTGAAACTGTGCTGTTGAGTGGAGTTACTTCTTATCTGCCCTGGAATTGCTGAGTCAAGTCACAAAAATTTTGAGCTTATGATTCGGAATAATCTTTATTTGAATGGTTGAAAATATCAAAGCATTTTGATTATGTAGGCTAGATAATCCATTATAAGTAGTTGGTTCTTCTAGTCTGAATTCTTAAGTGTGTTCTTCACCGAACACTCACGAGAAGTTTTCTGTTTGGTAATTTATTTTGCTGCTTTTATACAAATCTTGTTTAACCAAATTTTGTTTTATGGGCCTGCTTGAATAATTTTTTGAAGGGAAGTTTCTTCACAGTTCCGAGTTTTCTTGTGTCAGAAAATGATGTCGATGTTGATTAATGATACTTTTATTTGCCCAAGTTTTTCATGTGTAAGAAAATGACTGGTTATCTAACTTTTGAGTGGTGATACTTCTATCATCTCAAGTTTTATGAGTCCATTCGCACTGAGGATAAGCACATTTGACTGTGTGCGCTTTATTTTCAGTTGTATTAACAGGTTTTTAAACCATAACACCACTAAAAATATAATCTGTGACCTTAAAATTTGGTAATCTGTGACTAAACATATAATCTGTGACCAACTATTTTTTATCTGCGACCTAAAAATTATATAATCTGTGATCGTAAAAAAATCTGTGACCAATTAATTTAAAAATCTGTGACTGTGTGACCTATAAATTTTGATCTGTGACCAATTAATTTGGAAATCTGTGACCGTGTGACTTATAAATTTTGATCTGTGACCAACTAATTTTGAAATCTGTGACCAACGAATTAATTGTGACCTATAAAATTTTTGAGCTGTGACCGTAAATTGTAAATCTGTGACTAGAATGGTCGTCGGAATAGTTGCTGGAATAGTCGCCGGAATCGGAGCAGTGGCCGGAACGATCGTCGGAAAAGAGTGGTGGTCGGAGTGGTCGTCGAAATAGTCACCGGAGCGGTATGGGCGGTGCATGTGAGATGGGTTAATTATATTATATTAGAATTAAATATTTAATAATAAATTGATTTAATAATTTATTATTTCATAAATAAAAAATAAAAAATAAAAAATAAACCTGATTTTTGAATTTTCAAACTATAAACATGATTTTNAAGCAGGTCTAGTTGTAATTTCCTCAAAGAAAATAGTAGACCAGCCCAAGATGAGATAGCCTAATTGATTTCTTTCAATATCCAATCCAAAACCCAGGTTCCCCCGTTATTTTATAGGAAAAATTCATTTCTAAGACTTTTACTATATACTATTTCAAAAATAAGAAAACAACTTTCAAATTTCTAAAATCGGTAACACTCCTATCGCTCCAACGACTACTCCGATTCCAGCGACTATTCCGGTGAACATTTCGCCGCCTATTTGTTCCGACGAATGCCCCGAATCTGACACTTGTTCCAACTCCGACGAATATTCCGACGACAACTCCGCTATATTTTTTTTGTACAGTTGACATGATTTTTGACCTCTTGATTGTTGCTTGTGACTAGTAATATGAAATGTGACCTGTAAATTTGAACCATGACTCTACAAAACAACATGTGATCTGTTAATATTGACTTGTAACCAGTTTATATTGATTTGTGGCCTATAAAAAATAACCATAGCTTGTGAACTCAAAACTGTGATAGTGATCTATGACCTTAACGACAAAATAATTAGCCACGGTTCTATACAATATGATATAGAACTGTAACCTTAACAAATCATTTAATCATTGTAAATCAATCACAATTTATCAAACTATTGGTCACAACTTATTTTTTGGTTACAAATCAACAATTTTATAGGTCACATGTTATTTCTCGGTCACAAATCGAAAATTTTATAAATCGCAGATTATTTCGAGGTCACAAATCAATAGAAATGACAAAAAAGCTCGGTAGTTCGGGCTCGGTTACACTGAGCCGAGGCTCGGGCCGAGAGCCCTTTTGGGGAATTGGCTCGAGCCCGGCCCGTGGCCCTGGCAAGCCTGCCCATTAAAAAAAATTAAAATTAATTTTTTTTAAAAGACTTGCATGCTGCATCCTTCTATATATATTTAAAAAAACTCGCCGACTCGGGTCGAAAGCTTGGGCCGAGCCTCATTTTTTTGCCTGACTTTGGCTCGGCTCGGCTCGGCTCGGCT